CAGTCAGTGCTGCCACTTTTTCAACCTTCGGTGGAGTAAGGAACTTCTGGAACTTGTTCCCCCTGCTCCAGCGTGGTCCCTCTCTCACAGGAGACAGTCCTCTACAACTTTTCTCTGATTTGAGTCCCACCCACAGGCCACAGTGTTCCCCACACTGCTCTGGTGTGGGACACCACCTTTCTCTAACTGGAGTCCCTCCCACAGACTGCAGCCCTTCCTAAGATGCTCCAGTGTGGGACACGCCCACATGCTGCAATCCTCCCAGCAGTGAACTACAACAGTAGGGGCTGCTTCTTCCCACAGGGTCCCAGATAGGCTTGGGTGTGACCACTGTAATTGGCCATATGGGGCCTCCCACAGGCCATAAATCAGTGTCTGGTACACCGCAGACCTTCATGGGTTGCTGGGGGGGGGAGGGTGGTGGCCACCTTTACGTCTCACCACAGGATACAGGTGGGTCTCTGCTGTGGCACACCTCCACCCTCCATTCCTCCTCTGTTCATCCACTGACCCTGGTGTTCATGCAGCTGCCAAAACTCTTCCTCACCAGGTTCCTTCTTAAATACGTTATCACAGAGGCACAGCTGATTGGCTCCAGCCTTGGTGCAGAGGTGGGTCTGACATGGAGTCAGGGGAGCTTTCGGAAAGCTTCTCACAGGGGCACCACTGTAGCCCCCTGCCCTGCTACTAAAAACCCCAACACTCACTCAAACCCTGGACAGTTTCACAGCCAGGCTCTAGGAGATCTGCAAATTGAAATGCCATCAAAAGCAATTTCTGTGAATTTAAGCATGTCCATTAAGAGGTGTTTTCTGCTTTTTTCCTGCTTCTGAGATCTAGGCATAGGAAAAAAGGTTATTAAAACAGATCATGACCATAAAACAGTAAATGGTTTAATGCAGATGAGATAGATTCCTTTTGTCTCAAGCCAGGGCTGAGTCTCTAGAGCTACGAAAAGGCCTTTGTAAGAGTGTTTGGGTTATGTATGCTCAGTGTTGTCATACATCAATCAATGTCCATAGATGACCCGCATGAAACTGAGGGTTTTGAAACCGTGCTGGGAATTAGGCACCACAGTCAATTAATCCAGAGGACAGATGTGATATCCCTGACATCCAGATGCCAGGCATGAAGTCAGTCTGGTGAGATGCTTCCCAAAGGAAGATGCTCCACAGTATAAACAGGATCAGAGCCACCAGCATCAAATTATTTCAAAAGTCTGTATGTTCCTTTCCCCTTGTCCTGGTTCAGGCTGGAATAGAGTTCATGTTTGTTTTGGTAGCTAGAGGAGTGCTGATGCACACTGAGATTTCAGGGACTCTCCAGCTCTGTATGCCCTCCCTGTGTTTGGGTGTGGGGGGGGAGGGGGTGGGGAGAACAGCTGGAGTGCTGGGCCCAGATTGGCTGCTATTCCATGTCATGTGACATTATGCTCACCATATCAAGGAAGGAGTGGGCGAGGAAGGCAGGTGTGCTCTCTCTTCTGGGATTGTTGCCGAGGTGTCTTTGTGTTCAGGATCGCTAGCCAGGAACAGGCAGGTGTCGAGCAATTGTATTGTACATTACCCGTTTATACTGTCACCATTATTCTTCTACTACTGTTATTAAACTGTTTATATTTCAACCCACACATCTCCCGATTCCCTTCCCATTCCTAAGTGGGGAAGGGTGGGTGAGCGGCTGTCTGGTGTTTAGCTGCTGACCAGGCTCAAACCACGACACTACTTGAGAGATGTCATTGCAATTTTCACCTAATTGAAAAACATTTTGGCCAATGCTCATTTGGGCAATAGCAAACTTAGCACTGTACTCAGAAACCAGGGGTCTCTTCTCTTGGGCGTAACATGGACCTGACAGACAGCTATAGAAGTTTCCTTGGTTGACATGCCACTGAGACACACTCTACCTGTCTAGACAAGCTCTGCAACATGGCAGCTTCAAAAAGAAAAGGCGGTTGGCTAAGAGGCTATGTGGCAAGAAACAAAATCAGTCACTATCAAAGTGAAGGAAAAATGTGGATGTGGTAGCAGTTGGGACTGACTCAATATCTGCCCCAGCAGTATGCAAGGCAGGGACCTGAAAATCTGTACTGTGAGTCTTGAAGAAGACACTGTATTCCAGGAGTCAGTGATCTTGAATAGGCCATGTCTGCTCTATTGGGCCTTATACTTTGGGCCAAAGCCCGCATGTTATTGATGCAATCTGTATTTTATAATATCTTTGTGAAAGGTAATGTGTACATGGATCAAGGGGTGGAATGTGTTGATCCTGACCAGGAGACTATTGTACCTGCAGGAACTGGAGACCCACATCACAGCTGACATAAGCAGGTGCAGGAGTGTGCTGAACTGCACTGTACTGCATGTACAGTGTGGCCTTCAGGCCTGGGTTATGCTGCACAGGTCCCTCCCTTGGCACAGGACAAACTCAGCCAATGCACTGCACCGTAACTGAGGAGCCTGCAGGCAGCTCCCATTTGCTACTGGTGATTACATGTCCTGTGTGGCCTTGCCCTTATCTGAACTGATGTATTAAATTCTCATGTAAACATCCTTTATGAATAGACTTTTCTTGTAAGGAAATGGTATAGTAGCTCAAACAATCAAAAAAGGAGGAACCTCTCTCTGTACATGGGATCTGTGCAGCATGCCATGAGTGCAGGATTCCCACTATGTAAAAGGACACAGGATTTATTTGCTATCTACATTCCTCTTTCTGTTTTATTAGCTATTGTATGAAGACATTTGCTGCCAGACATTTCTTACTGAGATCCAGAAAGAGCTCCGCATCACCTCTCTCTGCCACCTCATCCTCCACTCCCTTGTACAGAAGGTGGGCACCCCACTCACACTCTCCACTACTGAGAAAATGCATGGCTGTGCAACTCTTCCATCAGTCAAACTTACTGTGATGGCAGAAAGCCACACTAAAATACCCACAAGAGATACCCTGCTTTCCCTTCATCTGGTCAGCATGTGAAGACCTCAAAACCTTAAAGACATTAAATTCCACTGAAAGTCTTTTGTTGTATGTTACCAAGTAGAACTACTAATGGCCAAAATTAGTACATTTACTGCAGATTGTCCCCTCTCCATTCAGGTTTTTTTTCTCTAGTCTGACTGAATAACAGGTTACACAGACTTCCTAAGTATTCTAACATATAGCCATCCATACTTATTTATAAAACACCATTAAAGATCTTTAAACATATTTAAGACAGTGATTTCACAAATTCAACAGGTTTGGGGTCCAGCTGTCACTTAGGTTACTGACAGAACAGGGTATCAAGCAGCATAAATCAGGCCCAAGCCACTTCAGACAGCAGTGCATGCTCTACTGTGTCTGAAGAACTAAACGGAGAATATGAGGCCCAAAGTATCACACAGCATGTCAATAATGAACCAACCTGTCAATAGTGAGATGCTCTTAGATGAAGCAGAAAGGTTGGAATGGGAAGAGAAGACTAAGAGCTGCGTTTTGATTCATGCCATTGCCTACAGTCACCTAGAGACAGACTGAAATGTATCTGTGTGAAAGGTACTCTGGGTCTTTTTAGCTGATCTTGGGATATTGCAGCTTCAGCAGCAAGCAGACTTGTGAGTCCATCTTGGGCTCAGTGTACTGAGCCCGAAGCCATATCACAAGTACTTGGATGTGTCATTTGCAAAAAGTTACTGTGAAGAAGTCATGAGCAGAAAACAAGCAGTCTACATGATCTATGGGATCTGACAGATCTTCACTTTGCATGTACACGTGTAGGCAGATCAAGAGAATACAGTTTTGTTCTCTGAGTCACCTTCGGGATTTCTCTGGCTCTTGAAGTGTCAGTGTGTGCCTCCCCACCAATAGAACAGAAGCAGGGCAGGACCCTTTGGATGTTATAAACTGCCTATGGCTTTAATTGGTGAACCTGGAACCAATACATTAAGATACTAAGCAATTCCCTAGTCTTTTAAAACTAAGAAACAGTTAAAAAAAAAAAAATTAGATGGGCTTGCCTACATTTACTTTTGTTTCATGTTTGTCAGCATTTCAATACTTTCAGCTCAAACCAACTCACAGTACACACCCTTGAGTTACATCAGAAATAATCTAGCCCTTTTCAAATAAATTTCTTTCAAACTACTTGTGACTTTCAATTAAGATATTTTTAGTAAGAGCCATTCTGGTGTTATACATGTCTTGTAGAAGTTGTCTGTTGCTTTGATGTTCAGGAAAAGAAGTACTGTTTTGTGTTAAAATAACAATCTTAAGAATACAACCACTTTAGTCCCTGCTGCATGAAGCTTTCTACCTGTTGGTAGCACAGCAGTCATCAAAACACACCAAAGCTGAGCTTAAACTGTTCTGCCTTTGAGAAAGCTGCATGGGAGCATCATTTATTCTTCATGTCCAGTGTCTTCCCGATGTCCCTGTATCTTCTGGTCACTGCCTGTCAAAAGAAGAGACTCACTCTGCTGCAATTTCAAAGCTAGTAAAGATGTGGAGTTTTCCTCTTTAGGGAATATATAATGAATGACCTGATCCTTTTCAACACAAGTTATACTGCTTCTGTTTAAATCTTTGGATTTAAGTCTGCATTTCAGTTTGCATGTAAGGAAGTGCCCAAACAGGGCCCCGTACTACAAGACCAATTCATGCCCCACATCCTGCACAAAAGTCAGGGCCCAAAGCACTCAGGCCCGCAAGCACAAGTAACCCGGCCAAACCCCGCGGCCACCAGCTTCGGCTAGGCGAATCAGCGGGAAGCCACGCTGCCCTCACGGCGCGCTCACGCAGCCACATCACAGAGTAGCAACCCGCTGCCTCAGAGCGGTCTTGACACGAAGGCACGGCGGACGAGACCGCTGGGTTTACGTGACCGTGGACCTACCCAGACGGCCTATCGCAGGCCGCAGCTCCCTCAGCCCCGCCTCCCCCCGCCCCAGCGCAGCGGCGCCTGCCCGTCAACCTGCGCGCATGCGCCACCCGTCGCGCCGTCGCCGTCGCCGACGGGGCGGGCGTGGTGTCAAACTGAGGGGCGTGGTCGTGTTACGCTGGGGAGCGGAGGAGTGGGGTGGCGGCGGCGGGAGGTGCTGCTGGAGCCGGCCGGGTCACTCGGCGAGTGAGGCAAGGTGAGGGGCGCGGAGCGGAATGGAGGCGAGCGGCGGGAGGCGGCGGTGCTCGCGGCGCAGACGGGGCTGGCGCCGAGGCGGAGGGAGCAGAGCCGCGCAATGACCGCTGGGCTCCCGCCGCGCCTGGACGGGCGCGGTGCCCGAGCCGCGGCTGGGTGGTGGCGGGGCCGCCGCTCCCCCGGGGCCGCTCCTCGGGGGCGTCCGGGATCGGGCCGCGCCGTGGGCGAGGCCTGCAGGGGATACAGCGGCGGTGGGGGCACCGGCACCGTGTCGGGCCGGTAGCGAAATAACAACGATTGCTCCTTTTATTGAGTTGTGGGGTTTAAAACTTACTTTTTTAGAAAAGGCTGGTTATTTTGAGGAGTTGTGAAGTGTTGCACATGTGATGCACAAGCGGTGGGAGTGTTTGCAGGTAGTCTCTGAGGGTTTGGTAAGAATGTGGATTTGAATCAAGAGTCCTGAAAAAAAAAAAAAAAAGTGATAAATATAGGAATTGCGATCTCAGTGCTCCCAGCGATCCTTTTCTGTTATGTAGCTTAGCTTACCTTGTCGTAATTACTTCTGGCAAACTGGCACGGACCAGATCTGAAGGTGTTATGCCATGATAACCCCTCTCTGCTTCAGTTGCACTAGGAATGCTTCTCCTGCTTAGCATTAGGATGCAGTATTGGGTTTGGGTGGCAAGGTTTTGGTAGTGGGGGAGGGGGGCTGCAGGGGTGGCTTATGTGAGAAGATGTCAGAAGCTTTGCTTATGTCAGATGGAGCCAGTGCCAGCAGGCTCCACGACAGACCTGCTGCTGGCCAAAGTGAGTGGACAGTATGGTCACTGGATGGTTGGGCTGAAAGGATGGTGATCAGTGGTGCAGAGCCTATTAGACTGGCAAGTAATGCTGTCCTGCAGGCATCAGTAGTGGGCCCAACACTGCATAGTGCCTTTATTAATGACCTGGATGATGAGATGTATCGCGCTCAGCAAATTTGTGGCTGACACCAAATTGCAGAGAGCATTCAAAGCACTGCTAAGTAGGGTGGTCTTCGGGTGGACCTGGACAGTCTGGAGAAATGGACTGATGGGAACCTCTTGCAGTTCAGAATGGATCAGTGCAAGGTCTTGTATCTGGAATTAAATAAATCCATACACCAATGCAGGCAGGGACGGACTATCAAGGAAGCAAACCTACAGAAAAGGCCCTAACAGGCAGTTCTATTAGACAGCAAGATGAAAATGAGTCAGCAGTGCACTGTGGCAGCAAGGAGGGCCAGCTGCATCTTAGGCTGTATTAGTAAGAATGTGACATCTGTGACCATGATTGTTTCCCTCTGTGTGGTATTTGTGAGTAGCATCTGGAGTGCTACATCCAGAATTTGGGGTTCTCAGTACAAGAAGGACACCAGAGCAAGTCCAGTAGGAGCCGCCAAGATGGTCAGGGGTCTGGAGCACAAAATGTAAACGGGGAGGCTAAGAGAGTTGTGCCTGTTAAGCTTGAAGAGGGGAATGCAAAGGGGAGACATTATTGCTGTTTGCAACTACCTGGTGGGAAGATGCAGAAAAGATTATATACAAATCAAAATTTCTGTTAGGTATTAGGGAAAAGTTGGGGTTTTTTTACTGTGAGGGTTGTTGAATACTGGAACAACTTGTCCAGGGAGACTCCGCCACTGGAAATTTTCAGGATTTGACTTGGCATAGAGCAAGCTGGTCTAATCAGACCAATTTTGATGAGGGGATTTGACTAGATGACCTCTGGAGATCTTTATTTCAAACCTAAACTCTGATTCAGTGATCCTTCTTGGGAAGAGTAAACATGGGCATGGATTTATCAAGGAAAATTATGCCTGTCTCATGTGATTGCCTTTAGTGGAGGATAAAATAGCAGGATTTGTTAAGACAAGGGCAGAGCTGTAGATGTCATTTACCTCAACTTGAGCAAGGCTTTCAACACTGTCTCCTACTGTGTTCTTATGTCAAAGGTAGGATGTTTGTCCACTGCCAGTGCTGCCATTTGGGCATACTAGAGGAACAGCCTAATGAGAACCTTGGGAATTTCAACAGTGACAAATGCCCTGTCTTGCCCCAGCCCTTACAGTACGGGCTGGGGAGGAATTCTTTGGAGATGGTGTTACAGCCTGGACTGGGAGCCCAGGGAGTCATAAAGGTTCTCTGATTCTCTCGAGTTAAATTAAAGTGAAACAACACCAAGCAACCAGTTAAAATGCTTTGCTTGTGGTAGAAACAAGTTAAACTGGGAAAAGTATAGTAAGCAATGTGGTCTCTTATTGATAAATCTATAAGAAATAAAAGAAAGGAAAGAAAAGGAGGGAAAGCGAGTCAAAGTATCTGGATCACCACCCAGGTTCCAGCCTTGTCTCAGGTCTGGTGATCTTGGGTGGTAGGTGCACACACAGCAAAGTTTTCGTCACCTTTTAAGTTTATCTTATCAGCTGCTTAGCATACTAGACAGAGAGGCAGGTTATCCCAGGAACTCATTTCCATGAGAGATGAGGTGATCTTGTTCCCTCCTACCACATTTACTTCAGTTTTTTTTCTTCTTGGGTAGTTGTCCAGCCTTTAGCTAACCAGCCTTTTTTGAGGCTTATCTAAGGAATTTGGCGCTACAGCAGCAAGGAAGTAGAGCCCTGTATCCTTCAATACACTCCGCCCTTCCCTAGGCAATATTCCTTAGACTAATGACAAAGGCCACAACTTGTCCTTGATGCTTTCTGTGTCAAGGAATGTTTGAGGCATTGATTCTTTCAGTTCCGTACACCACCCTGTGACTCAAACATTCAGCAAAACTTGAAGGTAAATATCTTTAAGGGTGGTAATTCAGACATATTGAACAGGGGGGGAAGGAGAGGAAACAATATGAGAGATCATACATTTCACTATATCAGTGCCTATCATTACAAAAAATACTGACAAAATCATAAATCCAATGTTTATGAGTGTCATGGTTTGGGCCTGGTCGGCAACCAACCACTGCAGCTGGTCACCCTCCCTTCCCCCTCCCCACCTTGGAATGGGGGAGGGGATTAGAGGGGTGAAGGGAGACTCGCAGGCTGAGATAGGAACAGTTTAATAATGGCAATAAAACGAGAACAATGATGATGATAGGGAAAAAAAAGAAATATATAAATAGGGAACGTACTTTGTAATTGCTCACCACCTGCTAACCAATATCCAGCCCGTTCCTGGGTAGTGACCCTGAGATACCAAGATCCCACAATCACAATCCCAGAAGCGAGAGAGAGCTTCTTCCCAACCACCCTTCCTTTATATAGTGAGCAATGATGTTCCATGATATGGAATGTTTCATTGGCCAATTAGGGTCAGGTGCTGTGGCCGTGCTCCCTCCCTGCTCCCTGTGCCCTTGCACATGGGCAGAACACGAGGAGTCGGAGAGTCCTTGAAGTCTCCAGCGGCTGAAAACATCAGTGTGCTGTCAGCATTCTTCTCATACCAAACCCAAAGCTAAATCCAAAACACAGCACTCATCTAGTCCCTAAAAAGGAATATTAACTCTATTTCAGCCCAAACCAGGAGAATGAGTTATCTTCTCCGCCATCCTTAACCCATTTCTTTTCACATTCTTTTCCAATTTCACAACTTTTACAACAGTTCTTTTACTTTGCATTTCCATCAACACTTTCTGCTAATGCATGCATTCCGTTTCATAACATCATTTGATTACAGGATGTGTCTTATGTATCCAAAATGAGGATAACCCTGGCAAATGCACGTATCTCAAAGTTTCTTAATCATTTACAACTAACTATTGTCAATTACAAAAAATGTTTAAGGAACCAAGCACGTTCATAACGAGAGCAGTCATGGTGAGCATAACCACTCCATTTGTTAGGAATTTGAATATACCAGTCTCAGGATAGTGGAACATTATATTACTGAGTTGTCCTGCTATACTTTTGTAATGGGAATGAGGCAGCCCCCGACATTTTCCTTCCATTGTAATACACTTCTGATTTAACATTTTTAGTTTCTAATACAAAACTTGTGCAAACTTGAAACCTGCTGATGCAGATGTAGGGAGGTCCACACAGAGACCTTGGTCTGTCTGATTCCAAATTTGGACAAATCCAGTAATCAGTTTCCATGCCGGGCTGGATTGCTTATCCAAATTCCCAGCTGGCTGAGACAAGATTATACATTCACAAGAATATAAACTTTTCCCTCACAATCTTTCCTTAGTAAAGAATTAAAATTACAAATGACAATTAACCAGTAGCGTAAATAACAACTGATAGAGCCAGGGCTAATATGGATCCTTCACTGTCCTTCTGTGTTTTTCTCTAACTCTACAAATCACAAATACAAAGCACATATAAGTTAAAATAAGGGTATTAATATATATACATAAGGAGACAAAGAAGCTTCTGTAGTGGATCTGTAAAATACATAACATCACAGGACACATTAGAAGGATGGAGCAATCCGTCTGGTATTGATTCTATGTTATTTTTCATGGGTATTGGTGGCTACCCGGCCATATAAATTGAGTGGTTTCTTCAGGGTCAGGGGTACCTCCTCCATTCTTGAGAGGTCCTTAAAACTGGTTGTCCCGGACAGTGTAGCAGATTTGAGAGACAACAGAGACTGTGGCTGGAGCCTTTGCCCTGTGAGGAGGGTATGTGGGACTGGGTCTGGTTCAGCTGGGAAAAGGGACAGCTTCAGGGCTACCAAATAGCAGCCCTGGCACCAATGAAGACACAGCCAAGCTTTTCACATAATTCTGTGGCAGAAAAGATCAGGCTAGTGATGAAGAGAAAGCTTTTATCAGTCAGGACAGCTCAGTAAGGTGGTGCCTTTGCTGTTCTTGGAGGTTTTCAAGCCCTAATAGGAGAAAGCCCTGAACAACCTGGTCTGACCCAATTGTTGAACTTTCTTTGACCAGAGGTTAAGCTAGAGGCATCCTTAGGTTTCTGCCAGTCTTAATTATCCAGTGATCCTGTAAAATTTCCAGGTATTCCATATGCATACACAAGTGCCTTTGCTGAGGGTGAATGCCGAAGTGTGAAGAACTGTCTTGATGGTATTTAAATTCATTACATTGCATTGATATAGCTGTTGCATTGTACCTAGCTTGTAAGCATTTTAGTGTACATTGATTGAAATTGAGGAATAGTTTCTGATTCGGGGGAAACAGACTTCTAGTCTGCTTAGAATAACTGATATGTGCTTCCATTGAAAATACATACTGTGCTTTTAATGATCCTCTACGGTACTTTCTCTCTTTAATGTGAATAATAAAAATTACCTGGTGGCAGATAGCATGTAATTCCAGCGCGTTTGTGTCAAAACTACCCAGGAAGCAACCTTCCATCGTTTTGCTGCTTGTTAGGTAGGACTAGAGCAGGTTGTTTTTTGTGACTCTGTTGGTATATACAAATAGATTGAAAGCATCTAGATCCACTGGAGGTATTGGATGTGCATAACAGATCTAGGTATGTCTGGAGTTGTTTGCTGTAGTGATCATACTTCTTTTTTTAAAAAAGCAAGATGTCAACTCTAGTTTAATGTGTGTTCATTTATCATGTGGATACCTATTGTCTCAAAATGCAATTAAATCTGTTCTAAAACAATACAAAACCATACTGGCATCATTCCCAGTGCAGTAAACAGGTATTATTTTCCTCCTAAATTTTCAGAAATGTAATTCCCAAGTGTATGGAAATATTTTGCTGCTTAACAGAGGTGCGCCATCACGACTTTAAAACCAGTAAGGTTATAAAGTAGGTATGTTTATTCAGTGCTGGGTGCATGGGGGGAATCATTTCCTCCAAATGCACGAGTGGCTTGGAGCCAAAAGAGGCTCCTTTTTATTACGTAGAATGTTACATATGTATCACAATTCCAGGAATAGGGAGGGAATATTACAATTAGTGTAGAGAAATCCTTAACAAACATATCATCCCTTCCCGCACCGCCCCCCCCCCCCCCCCCCCCCCCATGTAATCAGATAAACATAAACGGCATGTCTTAACAAAACACAGGGCATGTCTCAACCCCCAGGTGCGATGTTTCCTGAGGGTGGGGGGGGACCATCTGGTTAATGTTTCCTTAGATCATAACTGCAGGAATTTATATTAATTGAGATAGTAACTATTTATTTTGACTTTTTCCTGCTGTGAATGGTATATGTTGTGATGCCTTCTGCATTTGCATGTTTCCAGGGTTTAATTCTGTCTTTTTGAAAATAGGTGGCAAGATTCTGAATGCATCACACTGATAGTGTTAGCAGTCGCAATCGTGAAAGAACTTATCTACACCAAGCAGATAAGCAGACACTTCTTTATTCCAGCACTGGGGAACACGGGTGATAACTCTGCCAAAGACGTGTTTGCAGACAGGTACAAAGCACAACATATTTATACACTTTTTCAGCGTAGTCATGGTTACATAGTCATGGTTACATAGTCATGGTTACATAGTCATTTTAACTCAAGATCCATAATCAGTACCCATTGTTTTGATTCAGAGTCCATAATGATTCCTATAGTGATTAAGGCAAACACCATAATAGTTATCTGTTCCTAAGGGCCTCAATATACCTTATATTGTCATAGCTGCTATAACTCCATTTTAAATCAAGGTCATTTTTTTTAAGCTAAAATCAAAATAATCTAGGATTCAAACTATATTATTATTTGCAACAATAGCATGTCTTGAAATTAGAGTACTGTGCACGTATGTGTTTTCTTAGTGCTTTTTGCAAAGGATTACACTTAGGTTTTCCGCAAGTGTTTTCTTTAAGGAAGCCATTTCAAGTGACTGGAGGAGTGTTTACAGTAAACTGAATATTTGTGTCTGAATATTTGCTGTTGGGCCAGCAGTTTCACTGGTGTGCAACAAGGTAAGCTGTGTTCTGATTTGTCTCCAATTTAGGTTCCTGTGTGCTTGTGGGTGTCCCTGCATGTTTCAACTTAGAGAGGGTTTTTTTTGTCAAGTGTTCCAGCCTCTTAACTACAATTACATGTACAGTCTCACAGGTGGGTCATTTGTTTGTTTTTACTTCTGGTTTTGCATGAAATAATTGAAAAAATTGTAGAGAATTTTGCATTTTAAGTCATGTTTTAGAAACTGAACACTCCTTTTGAGTTGTACTATTTTCAAGTCAATGAGGTATCCTTAAAATGCTGTCAAGGATAAATATTCTCAGAGTACACATGTGCTGTGCCATTTGGAACTGTATATTTGCTCCAGCTTTAAGAAATGTTGATCACCCATTGTTTGTGCAAGACCAATGAGTATTCAGCATTTCTTGAGTTAGGCACATAAAGCAAGGTGATATGGTAGACTTAAGAGGGGGGAAGAAAATACTTTAATGCTTACAACTGCTGTTAAGTACAACATAAATCTTGGGTTTGTGTTTTTTTGTTTTTTTTTTTAATTGTTTTTTTCCTGGCAAATAGCACACTTTCTTTCCTAGGTCTAAGTATATATATATTTTTTTTAATCTCTCTTGCAGAGTAAGAGTTAGTGTTGTATGGCAGAGCCAAAATGCTGGATGACATCAACAAACAGCTTGAATTTCCTAATGCAGTTATTCAGTCACAGGTATTTTTTTTAAAAACATTAAATGAATTGTCTGTGGAAACCTTTGTTCCAAGGCCTTGGCCTGACTATAAAAAGGTGATAAGGAAGACTTTTTTTGTTTTTTATTTGTGTGTTTGTTCTCCAAAAGCAGAAAACCATAGAAGTAGGGAAGTTGCAAACAAATGCTGATTGCCTTATCTGTGTAATCCAAACACTGAACATAATTGCTCATCACTGTAAAGTCTCTGCATGAAAATCAGAAACTTTCCAGGACTAGAAGATTTAAGTGGAGCCAAATGGTTTCTAGTGACCCTATGATCTTGAGATAAGCCAGGAGTTACCAGATGTCATGTGTGGGGTCAAAATACTTGACAATACTTTATAGAACCAATTTTAGGACTGATCTGTTTTCTTCTTGTGTGATGAGAGTTGAAGAACTACTACAGTCTTGTCTATCATCAAAGAATAACGATGTACAGCTCCACTGTGATAAGCAGATCAAACCCCTTTATTTTGAGATCCATTCATTGGCTCCTGATCATGTTCACCTGAAACTTTCTCATGTGCATAAAATGTTTGTCACAGTATTTTTAATGGAGAGGAAGAAAAAAATAATAGGGTCTGTTTAAAAAATACACTTTCCTTGCTTTGGTCATCTCTTATTTCAGTATTAAAAACTTATCACTTCAACTGTAAGATTATTGCTAACTTACCCATTTTCTTTTTCTGTTTTGAATTCAGGATTAAATATGTAGTCATTTGGTTGATGGAGTAAATTGATGTGAATGTGGTCTGTGCAATCTAGTGTCTCTGCCTTTTCAGTTCACCTTAGTCCATACAGGTTTACAGTAATTAAGTTTGAAAGAGAGACACAGAAGTCCCCTTGTGCTCACCTCAGCATTTAGGAGAGGAAGTTGTGTCCCTGAAAGCTAGAGTTCATCTAAGATGTAGTGTCTTGTAAAGTGTCTTGTACTGCAGACGAGTTCACATCATTACTAGCCTTGATAAGTAGAACTTGGCATCTCTGAACCAGTTCATTTTTCTTCAGTGCAGAATAATGTCCCCATGGTACAAGTATTGCTGAAATGTCTTGGCTCATCACTACAGCTACACATCATTACAGGCTTCTGTTGTGCTTTGGTTGATTTTTGTGCCGTGCTTTGGTTGTTTTGCTAGTTTCCACTTATATTCTGTGGACCTCTGAAAAGCACACTGTGATCTTCAAACTATAATCAGGCCAGGATTCCACTTCATGACAGATGGCATCTCTTCCTGGGATGAACCAAGACATCTGCTCTGCAGAGCTTGTAATCCACACAGACAGGGATCAGCAGAGTAAGGAACTTGAACATAGATTTGTAGGTCAATAAGTTTTATTGGTAAACTGAGTTCTTGAAATACAGTGGGCTAACCCACATTTGACTTTCTTGTATAGCTCACTGCAAAAGCCATTTTCTATTGATAAGCCCCTTTCTGGTGTAATGAGAGTGTTTTAAGAATGTTGATATGAATTAATTTCTGAAGTTCCTTATAAGCAGGAAAAAGAAAAAAATAATAGATTCACTTGGTAAATACACTAAAAAGATCTATTCTGCTTGGGGAGCATGTTGTTGCTCTAGCAATGGGATAGCTGCAGAGAAGCAGACGAATATCTGACTTTGCCCTGTTTTCTCGTTCTGTATTCACAAGAGTATGATTCCCAAATAATAAAATTAATTTTTAAGTTAAATGTGTTAGAGTGCATACCCAGACATGTTTTTGTTTCTGGCTTCCTAGTTTACTTTTTCCAAAACATTTTGTGTTTTTACTGTGAAAAAATGTTTTTCTCCCTCTTACAGAAAAGGTTTTCTGTGTAGCAGTATCAATGATTATGAAACAAGACAAAGTAAGGCATTAGAAATGAGTCAGAAAACAGAAGCCTTGATTCAAACACTCTGAAGCCTTTAAGGGTATTTCAGTATTTCAGTCCACATTTAGATTTTTAAAGGTGATTTGAGGAAATCAGACATTCCTTCTATTACAATAGAATGAGATGCTTAAGCTGAAACCTCAAATAAACAAACATATGCCATTCTTTAGAACTGAATCCCTCATTCCTTAGAACTGAAACATTTATTTTGGAGGACCTTGAAAATGTAAATTGTGTTCACGATCTCTGCCACAGAATAGCTTTATGAGGTATACCATTAACTTCAAATGCCTTGTTTAAAGTAAGTGAAACATTTTTGGCAGTAGATATGCTAGGGGATATTTAAAGTGCCTAAGGTATGATAGTATGTTTGTCATCAGTGTTTGGCAAAACTTGATGCAAAAATTTGGGCAAGTTGCTTATATTTGCTATGTGCCTCCTCTTCCTTCCGCTGCTCTATATAGTAAAGGATTTAATAATTACCAGTGCTATTAAGTACACTGAGATACAGCAGTGGAGCTGTAAATGTCTATCACAGTCAATGCATTAAAATATCTACAACTCCTGAGTATGTATCTGATTCTAATCTTATAAGAGGTTTGTACAAAGAGACCCTTGGATCTTTGAGGAGCTCTCTGGAAGTTTGTTTCTCTTCTACTTCAGGATAACAGTGAAAAGTAGTATGCCAGCATTATGGAGATTTTTGGCCCTAAAAGGTATTTCAACTTCCATGCCAATAAGTTTGATATTTCACATAGATCATTTGCAGCAGCAGTGTAAGTTCTTCCTAATGGAGAATTGGAAATAATGTTTTTTATTTATTTCTCTCTTTAAGGCAGTGGGTCACCTGATTGCTGCAGTACTGAAAGAAAATGTTTCTTTGGAAAAGATCAGACAGGCCTCTGATCAGGTCTGTGGGATTCTTTCACTTCTGTTTCCTCTCCCATCCATATGTGCTTATGGTTTCTTATTCCCCAGTGTGGGTCCTTAACAACATGTGTCTGGGTGTACAGGTAGAAATGGTAAATCTCTGGGGTAAGAAGGGCAGTTTTACTTCCATCAGAAGACTTAATGGCCAAAGTTTTAATTCTGCAGAATACCAACATCTAGCTATAGTGAGTTTAAGAGTGTTTTATTTGAGTTTATTTATGTTACTGCAAGTGAAGTGCCATATGGTGAGACATTGTCACTTGAGTAGGAAGGTCTCTCGCGTCACTATAAAAATTGCAGAAAGTATGGCATTTCACATACATGTATTGGTGTTATGTTTCATATTAGCTAAGTAAAGCTTATATTTCTTTGAGAGAACATGGTGCAAATGCATACTTTGCCTTTTACTTGAGTCGGGCTCACTTAAGTGCTGGTCTGTGTTGTTAACTGAGAGGCATATGAAATGCTGGCATGTCCTGGGTTCATCTGAGATAGGGCTAATTTTCACAAGATGCTGAGTAGGGGCACAGCCAGGATACATGACCCAAACCAGTCCAGGGGATATTCGACACCATGCTGATGCTCGGTATATAACTGGAGGAGCTGGCTTGGGGTTGGGGGGTGATAAGGGGTGTGGGGGGGTGATTGAGGTTCAGAGAGGGGCTGAGTGTGGGCTACTGGGTGGTGAGCAATTGTGTTGTGCATCACTTGCTTTGTGTATTAGTTTTATCAGTATTGTTGTTGCCAGAGTTTTCTTCTCTTCTTACGGTGTTCTGTTAAACTGTCCCTATCTCAACTCACAGGGTATTACTTTTTTCCTCCAATTCTCCTCCCCATCCCACTGGGGTAGGAGGGGAGGAGTGAATAAGTGGCCTTGTGGTGTTTTGTTGCTGGCTAGGCCTAAACCTTCATATGACGTTATCAAGAGTCACAGCAGTGTAGGAGAGGTGGTAGTTAGGATTTTCTCCTCCATTTTTCCTTCCCAAAAGCTGACTTGTACAGAAATTAACAGAAAATTATTTGTGGATTTTACCTGCCAGTCTGAAGTCTTAAAAAAACTCAAACTCACACTAGCAAACTGTCATGGTTTGAGCCTGGTTGGCAGCCTAACACCATGCAGTCATTCTCTCCCTCTTCTCTTCTGGCAATAAGAAGGGACAGAGAGCCAGGCTTGGGGTACAAGATAGGAATGGGATGGGGAAAAAATCACACTTTATGGGCACGAGCAAAAGGCAGACTCGTTAGGGGAAGAAAAAAAAACATACATTTATTACAGACACTAACAACACTTAACAGAATAGGACAGTGAGAAGCATTGCCACATCTTGAGAACAACTTCCCTTCACCCCTCCCTTCTTCTTGGGTTCAGTTCTGCTCCCAATATCTTTACTTCCTCCCCCCAGCGGTGCAGGAAAAGGGGATGGGAGGTGCAGTCAGTGCTACCGCTTCTTCCATCTTCGCTGGGGGGAGCTCCTGGAACTTGTTCCCTCTGCTCCAGCATGGTCCCCCTCTCACAGGAGACAGTCCTCCACAAACTTTCTTCGACGTGAGTCCCTCCCATGGGCCGCAGCGTTCCCCACACTGCTCTGTCGTGGGTCACCAACTTTCTCCAACTGGATTCCCTCCCACGGCTGCAGCCCTTCCCGAGCTGCTCCAGCGTGGGACACCCCCGCATGCTGCCATCCTCCCAGCACTGAATTACAACAGCGGGGTCTACCTTTTCCCACAAGACCCCAGCCTTCCTTGGGTACAGGAACCTTGATCATCCAGGCGAAAAGCACAGGCCATAAATCAATGTCTGCTCCACTTCTTCATGGGTGGTGGTGGGGGCGCACTGCTGTCTCACCACAGGATACAGGGGGGTCTCTGCTCCAGCACACCTCCCCCCTCCTTTCTTCCTCCATTCCTCCACTGACCTTGGTGTTCACACAGCTGCTACAACTCCTCCTCACAAGTCCCACTGCTCATCACCATGTCCCTTCTTAAATATGTTATTGCAGAGGCGCAGCTGATAGGCTCAGTTTTGGTGCAGAGGTGGAGCTGACTTAGAGCTGGGGGAGCTTTGAGAAGCTTCTCACAGGGGTCCACACCTATAGCCCCCTCCCCTGCTACCAAAAAAACTCCACCACTCACGCAAACCTGGGACACAAACCCAAATCAGAAAAGTGCTGAGTTTTGATGTGAGGGACTGTTGGAGGTGTGTAGTTTCTCTAACAGAAACTCCTTCAACAGTCCTGATCAAAATCATGTTCCAAAACAACATTCTGTTTTGAGCTACAAGCTGACTCTTCCTATTTGCCACCTCCTGAAAGTATTAAACTGAAATATAGGAACATCTTATAAAATGCCAAGAAGCAGAAGGTTGTGCCGCTTAGACATTACTAGCTCCCTTTTTTATTCAAGAGTATTTTGCAGTGCTCAGTTGTTTAAAAATGTTTCTTATTTCTCCATTTGGTTGCTACAAAGTGAGCAAACTAACTTGTAAATGTAAATTTAACATGAAAACAGTCATCAGTTTTGATGGATGCTGCCAAATCTTTGTGCTTACTAGCAAATGGAGAGAACTGAGAACTTCATAGTAAGTAAAGATGACTTACCTCTGGATAGCCCTTTGTATGCCTGCTCTAGCTGTCTGCATTACACCTTGCTGTAGACATAGCTTGACATAGCAGTTCTGAGTTGTCTGCAATTGAATCTTGATCTTTTTATGGAAAGCGAAAGTGGTTATAGCCTACCTCCATAAGCACAGCTGAAAAATTTGTTTACCTTACTCTTTTTTTCAGAGATTCCCGTCCCTACTCAATGCATAGGCAGTAAGGGGCACGAAAGTGGGAGCTGTCATGGGTAAGGTCTCTCTTGGGTATAGAATCTGTACCCCAGCTTCCACTCTTGTGCTCTCTAAGATTTCAGGAGAAGCTGTTGAGCAGGTTTTTGTTTAAAAGTATGTTTGAGATGAATGAAGAGAAAATCAGTGTCAGCCTGCTCATTGCTTTTTACTGTCTCATGCTTTTTACTTCAGACTCCTGCTCTGAACTTGCTTTGGGAGAAGTGCTGCAGTGAGAATGTTGTCTTGCGAACAGCCTGCTCTGAGGCGTTGGTGGCACTTGTTGCAGAGGAACATGCTGAGCTTGACTATGTTCTTCATGGAGCTGTCAACATAATTCCTTCAGCAAGGTAGTGTTTGATTGCCTAATCTTGTGTCTTTTGTCAGCTGGTTATCAGTTATTGTTTTTCCCTTGTAAATACATGGGAGGAAGAGAAGTTCTGTAAATGACAATGTCTCCAAATAAGTTGTGTCATTAATTAAGGATGTTGCTTTGCCACTCTGCTGAAGGCTGTTGCTTTCATCTTGGCGGTGTGTGTCTGACTTAAGAACTCATAGAGTATCCTATGCATGTAAGCTGAAATTGTTAGCACTTCAGACTAATGCTCTGAACTTCGAACTGTGGAACCTCAGAAATCAATGCACTGCCTAGTTTTGTTGCCCCCGTCATGGGGAAGGGGGGAGAAAATGTCAGCAACTTCCTTTATAGGGGGAGGGAAATAACTTCCTAAACCGTCTGTCCAAATAACTAGTTGCTCAAATAGAGTCACCACAGGACTATGGATGGGGATTAGGAATGCTGGGTTTTGTTTCCTTGTCTGCTGAGCAAGAAATCTCTTTACCTAACTCTGCAGCTACTTTTACAAAATTATGCAAATAAAATGCCTGCATCTCACAATGATGTTTTGATCTAGTCTACCTGCACAATGTACTGAGCAAATGCAGTTGTGGGGGATAAAGGCACTGTGCATAAAATATATAAATGGGAACCCCAATGATGATTGGGAAGATACTTCCATTCAAATCTACCAACCTTATAAAGTTCTTTAGGTTATCTTTCTCTTCTAATTTTTGACAGCTAACTAGATTTCTGTACTAAGTCTTCTAATTTTCTTCCTAGAGAATGCTAGAGCTGGGTTTAGGCAACCCAGCTAATTGAGGCTACATCTGTGGTATATTTTGCTGGTGAGCTCAGCATAGAGGTTGCAAGAACCACACTATTCAAGATGCATTTTTCACCCCTTCTAACCTTCACATAATTAATTTTAGGCTGAAGTTTCTTATGGTCAGTCTGAGCCAAAGGTGAGTTTAGGTTTCAGTAAACTAGTGAAATGCTTATTAAACCTGGTATTTTAAAAAAGACTGTTTCTCTCCTTGTGACTTGCTTGTTTACAACTAGGATCTTGCTGTGGTGTTGCTCATTCTATACTGAGTTTACAGCAGATGGTTATGGATCCCTAGGAGATATTTTGTAAATATATTTTTATAAGATGAATAATTTCTGCAAACCTCTGTCCTCCAAAGGACAAAATTTTAGTAGTTCAGTTTGGGGTTAAGGGAGGAATCTGCATTGCTAACAAAGAAGTAAAAGCACTTGTGCTTAGACTAAGAGAACCTGAATCCTGTGGGTTAACATGGAGGGAAAGTTTCATTAGCTGTGGCTTGTAGACTAAGAAATGTGAAATTACTGTTCAGCTAAGGGCTTGTTACAGTATCAGTGGTTTATAAGGAAATGAAATATTAAAACAGTTTTGTACTTCAGAAAATGAAAAGTGTAAAATGGGATATTTAGGTTTGAATTAATCTTAAAAACAAAATCAGAGTTATGTATTGAAATGGCTTGGATCTGCCCCATTTCTATCCTACTTTTAGATTTTTTTCCATGTGTGAAACTAACACATGACTGATTGGTATAGTAAGTGCTTGGAAAATTAACCAGAGTCCTTTTATGTATTTTTGGCTTCTTTACCCCTGCCCCATGCTGCCATAATTCAAACCACATCCACTGTGAATTGCAGGGCAGGGCTTATATAACCTAATATTTGTGGTTTAAACCCGTTTGGAAGCCAAACACCACTCAGCCGCTTGCTCACCCGCCCCCACCCAGTAGGTTGAGGTAAAAACAGATTAATAATTGAAATAAAAGAAAACAGTAATAACAATAATAGAGAGTACAAATGAGTAATGCACAATGCAGTTGATCACCACGTGCTGACTGATACGCAGCCTATTCCTGGCTGCTGGTCCCGGAAAAAAAACAGATTCTGAAACCACAAGCCTAGAAGTGAGAGAGAACCCCTTCCTTCCCAGCTGACCCTCCTCTATATACTGAGCATGATGTTACATGACATGGAATATTTCATTGGCCCATCTGGGTCTGGTCGTGCTTGTGTACCTGCCCACAGGCAGGACATGAGAAGTTGGAAAGTCCTTGATCTCTTAGCAACAAGTGAAAACATCAGTGTATTATCAGCATTCTTCTCACACCAAGTGCTGAATCCAAAACACAGCACTGTTCTAGCTACTAAGAAGAAAAATTAATTCTATCCCAGCTAAAACCAGGACACCTAACCACTCAAGTCTGTGCGTTTAAAATATGTGTAGCCTCAGGAGATGATTAAACTGTCAGTTTGAGATTGGTTCATTTCAGTGCTCATACTTGTTTTTCTTGACTTTTCTAGAATTGTAACCTGCTGTTCATTACACTGTTCCCTGCCAAATTTTCATCCAGGTTTGCTCTGTGGCTTTGCACTGCTATGTTCACAGTGTCTCTAAAATAAAGTAAATATGAAGTCAGCAGCCAGTGGCAGCTAGCAGAAAGGCACTTGCAACTGCTGAGTATCTTTCAGTGCTAAATGGAGTTAGGTGAATGTTTTATTGGCAAAGACTACTCATGTTGTATTCTTGTTTCTCTTCCTTCTGTTATGATTAATTTAGCAGGGGCTTAGTGCACCTGGTGGATTTTATATTGTCAGTTATATAAAAATCTGCATACTAGGAAAGACATTTTGTTTGTCAGAGGTTAACATCCAGTGCTTATCCGAGTTGTCATGTCGTTCACACTATCTACTTATATAAATGGGAATCTACTCTTACTGCTCTGGTGCATCATTGTACCATAACTGTCTCTTAGACACAGTTTTGTTTCCTCTGATGTTCCATGAGTTTAAACTTAATGGAACATCATATTTATGTGTGTGTGCATACATACATACAAAACATGTATACATGTGTAAATAGATACATTCAAATTTTTACACATTTTGACACTGGTCTCTAGCTTTCTGTGTAGAAGACTATGGTAAAACTGTGGCCTGTATTCAGTAATGAATGAGCATAAATAATCCAAAAACCTGTGAAACAGTGGATTATTGTAATCTTTAAGAAATTGTCAGAAGGGTTTCTGTGTGTATATATGTTTTCAGAATGTTTTTATCACCTGAGCATCCATGTCTATAGGAGATGGGGAGATCCTTGCAATATGTTATGCCATTGTGCTGCTTGTATGCAGGAGCTGAGTGCAAAGCCTAAAGCGGTTATTTCCCCCGCCACCTGGGAATTAGGGCCAGCACTACAGGAGTTTCAAAACAGGGAAGGCTGTTTTCTTATTGAATGTTTTATAGTTTGTTTTTCCCCTTGCTGTGTAATTACCCAATTAAGCTGGGGAATATGATAGTTAATTCCCATTTAATTAATTCTTTGTAGCCTTGAAGTATCTAAAAGGTTGTTGTTCTCTCTCTTTCCTCTATACCCACCCAAAAGGCTTTCCTTCTTCCTCTGTGTTACGTTGACTGTGTGGGGATTTGGAAGCCTGCTACACACCCTCCTGTTAGTTGCTTTGCAGCAAAGTTCTGTTGAATCTCATGTTTCTTTGTGTAGGCAGCTTTCAGTGTTTTGAAAGCCAGGTGTCACTACAGTCATTTTAAAGATTACAGGCACATCTTATCACTGGTCCATTTTTGAAAGAAAGAAAGAAAGAAAGAAAACAGAAGCATATTCTGTCAGTTTTGATCTGGGTCAGTGTTTTCCAGCACTGTTGGCAAAAATATGAAAGGCACAAAAGAGGGAATATACTACTTTGCCTGTGTCTGGAATAGGAAACTAAGCATTTATTGGTGGAGAGATCCACCGTGGGAATCTCTAGATGTTCACTGGTATGCCATACCAGCCTATGGAAAAGAGTTTGTGTGCAGGTGGTGATAAGTATAGTAAAGGTCTGGCAGTTAAAAGTGGTATTTGCCTGTGTTCCCATTTTCTTTTATGAATGTTTTTTAGGTTATGATTCTATAATCATATGATCCTTTGCCTTTGCAGTTTTTGAATCTTCAGTAAAGTGTTTCTGAATACCAAGTCATGATATTTCTTTGTGATTACATGTTGTTCACATACATTGTTGTGCTGATGTTGGTCCAGGCTGTGTATGTAAATGCCTGTCTTTTAATAGTGTTCGCATAAAGCCTCCCTATTTTTTGATAGAAATTGCTTAAATCTGTTCAGACTTTTGGTATAGCTTAAAAGTCTAAATATATGTATATCCATTTGTAATTTTGGAATATGTTTGTGGAGTATACTGCATTCTATGCTAAACAGTTAATATTACTGTATCTCAGTTTGCTTGTGTGTTAAACGAGGATAGTAGTTTCTTTGTCCTTTGAGAAAGTTACATAAATTCTGCTTAATTTCCTGTTTCCAGCTCACCATCTGAGGGGTTCTTGCAGTTTTCCATTCACGGATGAAGAAGTGGAACTACAGATAAAATCTATTTCTCATATTTTTTTTTTCCTAGGAAAGTAGGAGGAACAGTAAAAAAAAAAAAAACAAAAACAAAAACAAACCAACCAAAACCAGACAAACAAACAAACAAACAAACAAAACCAAAAACCATGCCCATGCACCTAATTCTTTTTTTCTTCTGTCATCTTTTTCTGTGTGATAAAAGTAACTTTTTGTCAGGTGATGATCTCTTATGATTGTATATTGTGTTAGCTCCTTCTGTTTGTTATGTGAATAAAGTGAGGAGTAGTTATCCTTTATTAACGTGAGTAGTAAACTATCTACTAGATTTGTAGGGGACGATGATGCAATTGTATAGCATGTTCTAGATGAAAAGTCTAAGAATGAATGATTACTTTTTTATTTCTGCTTCTACATTTTCACCTTGTGAAAGAGTTTTGTTATAGAATCCAGGCTATTTTCTTGAAGGGATTGAGTCGAATCTGTCATGGTCTGGTTGGAAAGGCATGGAAAGCACTTAATTATGAAGCGGAGAGCAAAATTTTGAAAGCTCAGCTAAGCAGTAATAAGCTCTAAACTTCTTGAGCTCTTTACTGCATGGTCACAGAACTTTTTTTCCTCCCTTCTGGTGGACTTCATTAATTTTGTTAGTGTCTCTCCAGGAGAATATGGGAAATCCTATAAAAATTCCAGAAATACCATTGTTTCTTGAATTTTCCTGAATGGTAAATTAAACAACATAGAAGGAGGCAGATGAAATAGGTGTATGTATTTTTTTTATGTAGTCCTTGGCTCCTGACGTCAAAAGTCAGCACAAACTACGTGTCTGAGGAATCTTTCCTGACAGTGTGACTTCTCCTTCTAGACAGTGTCATGGCTGAAATTTGTGTACCATGCTGAATGTCTACCTATGTACTTACATTCAGAGAAGAGGTAATTCTCCATTTTTAACATATTAAAAGTGCCAGTTTCATTTAAGCTGGGGACAGCACATGTACTTGTAAGATATGGTAGAAGCAAACTATCAAAAAATTTAATCGATGTATTAATTATTCTCTGCTGTTTTGCTCATTATGTGAAAGGGAAAACAAGGACAGGTAGGTGCACAACTTGCCCAGAATTGCATAGGCAGATGTGAGGATGCCCTTAAGGAGAACTCAAGGCTTCTTGAGTGTCAGTTTTGTTTCAGGGCTCCTCTTCTTATGGAAGAATTAACCAATGTAACTATAAACATGATGATAATGTGTTTCTTTTTGTCAACAGGAATGTGCATGGTTTAGTAAAAACTATTTGGAAATTGCTACAGATTCAAGCTGCTCAACTGGAAAAAGATGGAGATGAGGCTGTTCGGAATCTGTATGGAATCAGGTTAGTTTCACATTGGTTTTATTTAGACCCAAGAATAACTTTTTGTCTGATTTCCAGAAAAAACATAGATTAAGTGTTGACACTGACTTTCAGTCTGTTTGTTGGGTTTTTTGTTTGTTTATTTGTTTGTTTTTGTTGTTGTTGGGTTTTTTTACACTGTGCAGGTAATCAAGCACTGTCACAGGTTGCCCACATAATTTGTGGAATCTCTGTCCCTGGAGATATCAAAACCTGACTGCGTGTGATCCTGGGCAGCTTTCACTAGCTAACTCTGAGCACATGAATTGGACTAGATGACCTAAGGAGTTCCCTTCCTACTTAAATGAATTCCTGATTCAGTTATTTTTTTGGTTGAAAGTTTTAGGGAGTTTTATAGTACAGGAATAAGATTGCCACCAAAAACTCAAACGGGGCAACAACAACATGAAGGCTGTGTGCAAGAAAGAGCAAATAAACACTGGGACTTATTAAAATACAGTAGCTGGATGATTGCTAATAGTCCTTTTAATAAGTCTTTTATTTTAAGACTGTGGACTACTTCCCCCCTCACTTCTTTTTCCTGCTTTATTCCTGTTATCAAAGTAAGGTTCCTGAGTGCTTTTATTGCTAAGGTGGTTGTCATGTAAAAATAAATGATTTAAAGATGCATCCACAGCTTCTCATATAAAGCTGTTTGTCATGTAATAGCAGCTTTCCTAAGGGGACATTTTGGTGAATTCATCTAGCTCTTTGAGAAACCGTGGATTGGTGCTGACATGAACAGCTGCTACTGTATCTTTTCTGGAGAAGATTCCAGCTTGGTAGATGTCATGAACATTTTTCAAGTCGCTTTTTATGCAGTTAAGATATATCATTGTAGCAGGCTGTAGCTATAATGCTTTAAGGATATAAAAGACACTGGAAGACAGAAGTCATGTCTTTACTTAAGCAAAATAAAATAGTGAAGAAAAGTGAAATAGACTTCCGAGTGCTGCATGTGCTTGCATTCCTGAAGTCCGGGATGCCTTTGTTTTCGTAGCTGTATCAGTTCTTTCTACAAAGTCCGCATTCTTATGGAACAGTTTTAATTGAAAAGGCAGGTAATGAAGGGTAGTAAGATGGAACTCTTTTTGAAACTTACTCTTTAGTAGTAAATAAACTTATTTAAAGTCTTCTGGTAGAAGAAACTAAGTTAAAGCAACTTCATCTAAGCTCTGTGTGAAAAAGGGTAGCGGCATATGACTGGAATAAGAAACAGCATGTCCCCAGCAGGGCAAAGAAAGATTATTACCTGCCCTGCACCCCACAAAAAGAAAAAATGCTGGTAGTATACAAGGAAGGTGAAATTTGATCATTCAGAATGGTTTAAAGTAATAGAGAACTGAAAATAAGCAGCAGACTTAGGCAATATATTTCTTCTTTTTCATTTTGCTTCCAATTAACTTTAATGGCGAGAGACGCCAGGTTGGTTGACTTAGTTTTGATTATCTAATAGGTCAAGGCCCTGTGATTTTGAGATCTGACTTTTGACTTCTAGTGTACAGAAATTTCTGTCTTTTTTCAGTGACTTTTTACATAACAATTTCTGTAGTTGTATTCTATCAAGTGTCATTAAAACTTGATTTCTGAAAGAAGTAAAAGAATGTATGCAGTAAGTCACCAACAGTAACCTCCTGTTAAAGTGTTTATATATTATGCTGTCAACTATGCAAAAGTATTCCATATGGAAATCATCAATGAAGAATCAAAAAGCACTGGTACATTCTCAAGTACTTTGCCATTGTCATCTCTCATGGGACATTTTAAAACCAATACTACAGGGTAATAAATGAATTTGGTTCAGACCAATGTTAATTCTGGACACTAAAATTGCATTTATAATACAGCTTCTGGTGATGATATAGTATCATGAGCAGTTCCTGAAAGGAAATGGGAGAAAATAATGTCTTGCAGTTTTGGTAGTTTTGTCTGGTTATATTGTATTTGGTTTGGTCCATGTGGAGTCAGCTTTCCCCATAGCAGTCCTGGTAGTGCTGTGCTTTCTAATTGCAGCTAGAGTGGTGTTGATAATTGTTTTGCCAATTGACGGGGTTAACACAAAGGACACAGACACCAAGCTAAAGAAATAGGCTTATTTTACTTTAGTTTAAAGCAGCAGAAAGAATAAGCAAGATAATGCACCTAGTCATTACTACATAAAGCTAGCTATAGTGATTAAGAAAGATACATCACCAATTGCCCTCATACTTTACCATCATCCAGACCCGTGCATCAGCTGGGGAGCCCCGTCACAGCGAAGGGTCAGAGACCCTTTCCCAGCAATAGGGAAGTCCTACGCAGGGCGTCCACTCATAGGTGAGGTCTCCGTCTTTGCTGTGAGAGGGTCCAGCTTTTATACAGTTTAACAAACAAGTCTATACAAAATGCACGCGAGATATCTGGTAGATTGACATGCCTCACTCTGGCGTGTCTGGATCTGGCCAGGATCCGGGCATGTCTGAGGAGTTTCTGTTTTTCTTTACATTTGGGATTTATAGTTACTTCCTGTTGTTTATTTACAGTTTTCAGGGATTGTTCCCAGGGTTGCATTTCATGCTGATAAGATGCTGGTTGCTGGTCGGGGAATTCACTCCGAAGTCAACCTTGGTTTGAGGACTATTGTTTGGGCCTTTTTTGTTTTAATAATACACCAGTGTTTTTGCTATTACTGAGCAGTGCTGTCCCTCCAGCCCACTCCCAGCCCTTCAAAAGCCGTTAAGGTGGGGGTAGGCAAGACTTGGGGGGAGGGGACATATCCAGGACAGCTGATCCAAACTGACCAAAGGGATATTTCATACCGTATGATGTAGTACTCAGCAATAAATGTTAAGAGAAAGGAGCCAGGAGGAAAGGGGGCATTCATTATTAAGGTGTTTGTTTTCTGAAACAACTGCTAAATATGCTGAATCCCTGCTTCCCCGGAAGTGGCTAGAAATCATCTGATGATGGGAAGTAGAGAATAAATGGGTTTGTTTTGCTCTGCTTTCATGTATGGCCTTTGCTTTTCTTTAGTAAACTGCCTTTATCTAGACCTACAAGTTTCTAATGTTATTTTTTCCCTGTCCTGTTGATATGGGGGAGTGGGAGAGCAGCTTCGTGGGTACCTGGAGGCCAGCCGAGGTCAACCCACTGATACCTGCGAACTATGATTATTAGAAAGTAGATATTTGTGGAATAAAATTATTAAGATCAGCTTAAGATGTTTTAACCATTTAACAATTGTGCTGCAAAACAAATACTGATCTTTTGAGGAATAGTTGGAATAACTGTAGGATAAGGAACTCATAAATTATCTTACCAGAGACGGTTTGGCCTTGTAGTGGCAGGTTCAAAGAAACATAAAGATAAGAAGCTGCAAATTAGCAACAAACCAGACCAGGCCAGCCTTGAAGGACAGGATGTATGTGAATGCAGGACTGCGTTTGCACAGAAGTAAGGGTCAGCTGTCGGACACAGTGAAGAAGACTACGAGCCTTCATCTGAGGACCCCCGACGACCACCCGAAGACTCCAACAGACATGCGCAGGAGACATTAACATATGCTAAATGAGTTCCCAGAAAAGTTATGACTATGATAAAAATGCAATGAATATGTATGATTAAGGTAGTATAAATGCTTGTTGATTTCATTCTCTCACACACACATTAGGAGGAGCTATCCCCTGTGTGTCCGGTGCTATAATGAAGAATCCCTGCTTTCTAAAACTCCAAAATTGAGTCTTATTGAGTGAATTAATTACCCCTTTCCAGTAACACCACCATATAAGTTTTCTGATTACATCTGAGGAAATGTCTGTAATTTTAATGCTGGGATTCCCCACATTCTGTAAGCAAATTAACATTGGAAAATAGAGAGTAGATTGCCTCTGTTCCTACAGAAAGTTGGAAATGTTCCTTTTACTTTAGTAAGTTGGTAGAAAACTGCCTCATTTATCACTGAGTTTTGGATTTCCTAATTGTTTCTATAAGCTTTGTAAGCACCACTGTTTCGCTGTTTTGTTTTTTTTTTTAATAACTAGTATTCCAGTGGTGGATAAATACCAAAGCAAATATGCATGGGTTTTTTCAAGAATGTGTGAATAAGAGTTACGTGATTTTTTTAAATTCACATATGGGATGTTCTGCACTTTTTGTTATGAAGTTAGGACCAGCTATATCAGAGACAGAAGTAGTCTGAAAGTTGGTCTCACTGTGGACTGGAACTTAGCATTCCCAGTGGATTTATTATCTCTTGTGTGGCATAAAGTTGTCTGTTTCCTCTACAGATTAATGTAACAGTCCAGTAACCTAAGCTCAAGCAGAATTTTTGAGGAGTGCTTGTCGGCATTCTCAATGCAAGTGGGTTATGACATGCATGTACAGACCTTTGGCTATAAATTTTTGTAAAAGCTACTAACTTTTTAAAATGAACTTGTCTGAAATTTTGGAGAGCTGCCAACTTTCAGAAATCAAAATTCAGAGCAGGTAGAAAACTGCTTTAAAAATGCGTATTTGGTGGAGTGAAGTGTTGTTCCATCTTTCTGAAAGGGCCAGGGTCACAGCTGCATACACAGAAATGTATGTTGACTGCAGACATTGTTTCCTTATACAGAAAAAGCAATGTGTCACTGAGTTTGTGCTCTAAATCAGATTGGAGCGCTCTTGTGTTCTGAGATGTAACAAAAAAGGTTGAGATTATGTGAAAGTTAAAAATAATTTTTGTTTTGTTGTTGCCCCTGACATAAGATTTATATTTGTTTCCATAGATATGTCTTTACAGGTGGATAGCTGCCGTGTCTGGTTGTGCATTTTGCTTTATCCTGAACTCACTGACTAATTTAGGGTAGTAGCACTGTAATGTCATTTAAAGATGTGAGTTTTACAGTGCTGTGCTAGCAATTCTTAAGTAAGTGTAGACGATAAATTGCATCTGCATACCTCATTTTTCCTACTGATAGTAGCATTATCAAATGGAACTTTTTCAGAATGCACATTTTGGTCAT